GGGAGGGAGGGAAGGAGGAGTGTAGAGAGCAGGTGGGAGGGGGAGGAGGGTTCAGGTGGGAACTTGCTCTTATGGATCAACTCGCAGGAGATTTTCTTCTTCCTTCTCATGGTCCTCACTGGAGCTCTTCCTCTACTTCTTGCTCCTCTGTCGACACCTGGTGCGATCGAAAACCTCGAGCACCTCCCCTTTGATCTCTTTTCCCTTCCATCCTCGTGCTCGTGCTCGTTCTCCTGCTCCTGCTGTCCTTCCCTTCTCCTTGCCGCCAACCTCTCTTTCCCCTCATCTTGCTTTTCTCGTCCTCATCCTCACTCGCAGCCCTCTGCTCGGTCCTCGGCAGTCTTGTCTTCGGCCTAGTTCACCTCGCGTTCCTGTCGAGGTATCTGAGGAGAAGGCGGGGAGAGGGAGGGGGGCGACGAGTGACGGCCTGCCTGTCAGTGTGAATATTTACTTGCTCATGATGTTCTGGTTGGCTGCTGCGCGCGAGGGCGAGGAGGAGAAGAAGAGGAAGTGAATCGGATGAGGAGCAGAGAATTTCAACGACGATGAAAACCGATAGAGCACTCTCCTCATTGTCTTGCTTTATGTTTCCTCTGCGTCCTCGTTCCATCTTTCCCTACAACTTGGTGAGAAGAGAGAGGGGCGGCAGGATGGAAGAAGTTGGGATGAGACGAGCCGAGGCAATGACGAACAGCCAGAGGAGATCAAGAGATCAAGAGAGAAAGAAGAATGGGAAAGAGCACAAGGAGGGAGGAGGGAGAAAGAGGGTGGAAAGAGAGGAGCGAGGAGAGAGAGCGAGGAGGAGGAGAATGGGGGGGAGAGTGATGATGATGAAGATGGTGATGATGATGAAGATGACGATGACGATGACGATGACGATGACGGCGATGATGATGATGATGATGATGATGATGATGAGGAGGAGGAGGAGGAGGAGGAAGTGTACCTCAAACTCAGGCGGTAGACTGGGTCGAGGATGGAGGGAAGCATGGGAAGGTCCGCAAGGTTTACACGCATGAGGTCGAACGCGGCGACAGCGTTAGATGAGGAGGAGAACTGGAAGGAGATCAGGAGCAGCAGAAGATTGAGAAAGTAAAGGCGAGAGAAGAGGGCAGGAGGAGGAGGAGGAGGAGGATTGGAAGTTGAATGAGAAACACCTCTGTTAGGAGAGGAACCTTAGGGTATCTCTGGGAAAAATGCGTGAGAATGGTGCGAAAAGCATTCATGTCTTTTGCAATCTGTATGAAAGTCAGAGGCTGCATGAATACATGAGATGTTTGTAGAGAGGAGTGACAAGAGAAAAGAGTGAGAGATTAAGAGAGTGGGGATGGAAGTAGCTGACTGTAGCAAGAGACGGGACAGTGAGAGGGTGAAGGAGAGGGACAAGGGGGTGAAGGAAGGAGGAAGAAGGGCAGAAGAAGAGGAGCAGGAAGACTGCAGGGAGGGGGTTGTGATGTTGTCCAACATTCAGAGCTTCCTGCGTCGTTGAATGCTTCTTGAACCTTTCGAGCATGTCAGGGACAGGCTCAAAGATGCAAGGAACCAATTCAAACATATCAGGGACATGTTCAAAGGTGCAAGGAAGAAAACAAACATATCATGGACAACTTTAAACATGGTCGGGAGTAAGTCAACAGTGGGCGGGCATGACCTGGCGTCGTCTTGAAGCTTGTTCTCATGTGTAGCCTCGTGAATCAGTAGAGTAGCATCGCATCCTGTTGAAGAGTTTGTCAGCCCCGTTGAGATCGAAGAACATTTCACCTGCGCTCACAAGCTCCTTGCAAGGTCTAGTATCTCCGCTGTAAACCTGTCAAACAACATCAACGAAGTTGGAAAAGACAGTCAGTGTCGGGGTTACAATCTTCCATGAAGGTTGTGTTGTACTTTCTAGAACGACACCACATGCATCTCTGAAGGCAAGAAATAGTCAGAGGGAGCGAGAAAAGGTGGAGGAGAGAGTGGAAGAGGGAGGGTGGGGAGGAGAGGGGAAGAAAGGAAGACGGGGATGAAGGGAGGTAGACAGGGAGGGAGAGGGAGAGAGGGAGAGAGGGTGGAAAGGAGGGGGGAAGAGAGGAAGGGGGAACGAGGGGGAAGGATGTCGGAAGAGGAACAGAGGAGGAGGACCTGCACGAGTGGTTGACTTGAACGGATGAAATGCGAACTCCCAACTGTGAAGGCAGGAAGACAGTGAGGGATAGGTGGAGGAAGGGGACGAAGAGGAAAAGGAGTACGAGTACCAGGAGGAGGACGAAGAAGGAGGGGGAGGTAGGAGAGGAGAGGGAAGGGGATGGGGAGGAGGAGGAGGAGGAGGAGGAGGAGGAGGAGGAGGAGGGATGCAGCGGGGAGGATGCCGGAGTTGGCAACCAGAAACAACTTTGAAGAGAAGACCTCACCGTAGCAGCAAGAGGAGCAAGTCGATGATTTTCTGACCACTGCAACGACTTGTAAATGTAAACATGTGAGAGTAGATGGAAGTACGATGAGAGAATGACGGATGTCAGCATTGAAGATGAAATCAAATTCAATGTCTTCGATCTTCTGGTAGGATCTGGCCAACAATTTCCTTCAGTGTTCTTGCCATGTTTTCACGAAGTCACCTCAGCCACTTGCGGAGTGCTGGGGGTCCGATGACTGTGATGGGTTTGCAATCTACTGGTTGTGAGATGTACGAGAACATGTCATGAAAGGGAAAACCTTGTGATAATTTCTTGTGATGGCTCAAAATGCGAAGAAGTCCTGACACAACTTTAAGAAGCAATGTTGATATGTATGTTGCATTGATCTTGTGGGGGTTGATCATGATGTGTAAGAACGACGACGACTACGACGACACCGATGATGATGATGATGATGATGATGATGATGATGATGATGATGATGATGATGATGATGATGATGATGATGATGATGATGATGATGATGATGATGATGATGATCAGAATTGAGTTGCAGCAGGTCAAAAACGTCTCAAGTTGACACAGGCCATTCGAGGTTAACACATTTGAAGTTAAAGCAGCACATTTGAAGTTGACACATTTGAAGTTAAAGCAGCACATTTGAAGTTGACACATTTGAAGTTAAAGCAGCTCACCAAGATGATGGTCGGCATGCATGTGGCTGATCCAAACGCATTTCGTCTTTGCGATTATTTCCCGCAGCTCCTCATCTCCATAACTGTCAAGACAAGTCAAACATGACGACAAGTCAAACATGAAGATCGAGACACACGCATGCAGGTAGGATTTTAGGAATTTGTTGAGAATTCGAAGGTAGGGAGCATTCAAACAAAACATCAGCAAATCATCAGGAAATCATCGTCATCATCATTGTCATCGTCATCATCTTCATTAAGATGTGCAGATGAGTTCAAACTAGAATGATTCACAAACAGAACTTCTCACAATCTAGCCAGTTGTCCCAAGGTCCCTTCTCCGCAGTCAAGCAAAATCCCCCCCCTGAAAGTGATGAAATGAGAAAAGCATCTTCGAGAATACAATTACAGCGGCAAGGGTAGCACAGCAGGATGGGAGAGATGAGGACGAGAAGGGGAAAAGCAGGTAGAGGGTGGGGGGAATGGATGGGGGAGGGGGGAGGGGGTAGCGTGACTAAAGTAACCTGTCGAACAGATCTACAAAGATCGCGCTAACGTTTCTGTACTTCCCCTACGTGTACCATTGGTCAAGACCCTGTTTCTGACGAAGGATCAACATCACCGGGAGTGAAGCAGCGGTCCCAAGGATCAAAACTTCTGCAGATTGCCTGCATTTGTGTCATTACACAATGACTGGTGGCTGACAGCTCGACCTTGATATTGATTGCAGTGACGGAGGAATGTTTGTGGCAGCTGTTGTTTGTTTGCAAATTATTTCATCATCAATCTCAGTGGACACGCTCTTGAGTTGGACTGATGGATCATAGTGATACAACCCGGAGTACTTTGCTGTTTCACAAAACAACTCATCACTGGCTCATAACAACATTTCTCTTCTAGTTTTTGTCACTGCCCTCTCCTCACCCGGTTTGATGCCAAACTTGAGCATGATGGAAGCTGGCCAGAGATTTTTGTTGACATCACTGGTACTCCAATCACATCTCTTGATCTGATCCAGAGCTTGCATTCTCTGCTCGACCTTCTTCTCACTGTCTGACGAAATCACATGAGCACATCCAACCTCACAATCACAACAAGAACACCTTTTGGAATAGGAAAGAAAACTGGAGAAACCTTGTTGAGCTGACAGATAATCTGTGTGTGGCTGGGAAAGACAGGGTTGTCTTCTCCGACACAACTTCTCAGACATTTCATATCAGATTGGGTCCAAAGTCGTAGTTGTGCTGACCTGTTGAGAATCACGTGCTTTGCATCGTTCTCACAGAATTCTTCAACAAGCTGTTTGTAGGTCTCGTGTAACAAGATCTGGCAATTTGTTACCCTCCGCTTCTTCGTCACTCTTTCCCTCATTATCTTCATATTCCTCCTGCTCCCCCTACTTATCATCATCATCATCATCATCATCATCATCATCATCATCATCATCATCATCATCATCATTTCTCGTAGTCGTCATCAACAGAAAGATTGTCATCTCAACGAAAAACATCCTCTCCTTGTCTTCACCATCCCATTCACAGACCGACATCACGGGCTCGGACTCTCATACATGATTCGAAGACATGTGAATCACAAGAGCAAGCTTCTTCTTCTTGGGTTTGCTGACTTGGGAGTCACAGTATTCCACAGATGGAGAAGAACGGGAGCAAGGCAATGTCGGAAAGTGAGGAGGAGGACGAGGACAGAAGTGCGAGGGAGGAGAGAAGGGAGCGGGTGAAAAGAGAGGAGGAAGGTAAAGAGGAAGACCTAGTGTGAGGGCTCTTGAGAGGAGGAGGAGGTACTTCGCCGACTTTCATCCTTTCTGCGAGCTTTGTGATGGAGCTGACGTCCGGACAAAACCAGATGCCGATCAGAGGGCCCTGACAAACGATTCGACGATTAAAACAATCCATGCGTTAAGGCAAAGGATCAGAATGACAGCAATGAGGACCAAGACGAGGACAAACGAGAGTAAGGAGAAGAGGAAGGAAGAAGGGGAGGAGGAAGGGGAGGAGGAGGAGGAGGAGGAGGAGGAGGAGGAGGAGGAGGAGGAGGAGGAGGAGAAAAAGTGGCAGCAGGAGAGCACAATTACCTCTACGGCGTCTTCAACACAGTCCTGCGGCTCAACAATCGTCCCGCAGGTCAAGGTCACAGACTGCAGGAATCAACGATCACTCCACACAGCGAAATGCTCCTCCGAACCTTTCCCGCCTTGAGCTGTCCCAGGAGGGGACCTTTGGGTACACCTAGGGCACGTCAGGATGGGGAGGCTGCTGGAGGAGGAAGGGGAGGAGGATACCCAGGGAGAGTGCCTTGTTGACATCCATCCTTCCTGCTTCGTCTGCGAACCTCAACAGGTAGCTGACTGCAAGTGTAGAGGAGGGGACAAAGTTCCTCTTCTTCTTGCCATCAGCCTCTTCCCCCTCTCCGTCACTCTCTTCCTTCACACCCTCGACCCTGCTGGCAGAGGATAAGGAGGAGCAATCACTAGCTTCCCTTCTGACCTCTCGCTCTTCTCAACCTCACTTGTCGGGAGAGGAAGGATCGAGACATGATCGAGGACTACAGGTTGCACATCGCCCGACGGGATCTCAACAGGAACCAGCTCACTTTCTGGCCTGTTCTCACAAAACCCCTTCCCTGTATCCTCACCCGGTCATTCCTCCTCCTCCTCCTCCTCTCTCTGTCTCTGTCTCTGTCTCTGTCTCCCTCCCTCCCTCCCTCCCTCCCTCCTTCCCAGCCCCCACCACCTGCCACCTGATCTCAGGAAATGCGTAACCCCCCTCGGCCCGTGGACAGAAAGTTTCTTCACTCCCGAGTCAGACAGCGTCAGGTACCTGCGAGCTGGCAAGTCAGCTGAGCCCATCGTCATGAGCGCCATGCTCACATCCCCAACAGCCCTCCCAGCGTGTCAGCATGTAGCTCTGTGAGGAACAGGTGCTCCAGCTTGTTCAGCCGCACTTGGTACTGGGAACAGAGCCTCTGTGCTGAAGGTAAGCCATGGCCGCATCGGCGCTACTTGCTGTGCCTGTAAACCGTCGCCGGCATTGAAGACGATCCTGCAAGCCTCTGTGACGACGAGGATGGATGGGCAGCAGTCGCTCGAGTCGGTCCCGAGGATCTTGCAGGAGGATGGTCAGCTGCAGGGAACACACAAGGATTCACCTGGACGTATCGCTGCAGTTGGCTACCATCTTTCACGTCGAGCTGCTCAGAACCTACCCCTTCCTTCCGCTTCTTGTTCGGGCCATTGTTGCTGTGGAGGACGAAACATGTTATGTGATGTCAAGTTCGCTACTTCTACTCCGGATCATTTCCTTTCGTGTTTCTTCTCACGTACATTCGCCATCTCCGCACTCACCCTCACCCTATCTCCTCAACCTCTCTGCCCACATTCCAAGATTGTCCATGATTTTCTTGCTTTGAGTGGTCTTGCTGTCTGCTGTCTGCTGTCTGCTGTCTGCTGTCTGCTGGCTTCTGCTTGCTTCCTTGTTGATCGAGATGGCCATGTCGTTTACCTCTCCTTGTCCAGCGGCCGCTTCTCGCTCATTGTGCACAGGCCCGATAAAGAAAAGGCAGTGTAAAATACACTTCAAAATTACCTAATCAATAATTGCTGCCCCCTTACACGCCTGCTTGTGTGGGAATCAAGTTTTAGTCAAGTAGTAAGCCACGGGTTCTTCAGATATTAACTAAAAGATACATTGTGTTGACTAAAAGTTGGCCACGGTCAAACGGTCACTCCGACACCCGAGTCCGACAAGGATGGTGGGGCGACGTGGAGGAGCGGACAGAGGGAGGGAGAGGAGGTGCTTGGAAGAAGCAAGAGGATGGGACATGGGAATTTAAAAGGCTGGTTCGTTGGATCCTTGCATGTGGAACGAGTTTTCTTCGAGGTTGGAGGCTCCTGTGTCGAACCGTCCAGACTTTTCTGAATCCCCCAGCGCTGGAAAGTCGTATCCTTTGGACCACGATCGCCCTCGAGACACTAATGACACACTTACTCCCAGCCAGAGGCGATTGGTCAGCAAGTACTCCGAAAACACGACTCCAAGTGATCAAAAAGGCGGAAACCACTATCCATTAAGAAAACCGCCAAAGGCTACTATTCCTCGAGATTTGATCCGGGATCTACATGCGAAAACTGCATCTCTCCAACAACAGTTGCGTACAGCTACAGATCAAGTTCGATTGCTGCACACAGAGAACGAGTCATTACTACAGTCAGCTTCATATGAGCAAGTACGAGCTTGATAATCATGCATAGATTCCCTTGACGATAGTTCCCATAGGCTCTCAAGTACCTGGACACTGTATCGCCATACAGTGCGGTAGCAGATCTCTCCCTCCAATCCCATGTATTGAACTATCCCTACCCGCTGTCTCCCAGATCGCCGAAAGTCTTAGCAGGTGAGAACATCCCCCCAGGCTATCCTGCATTACAAATAACAATAATCTAGGTACTCCATCCAACGATGAATCCGCCATACGACCGATGCAAGGTGCAAGGAGCACCTTTACGTGCATATAGGATCAGGGTATGGAGAAGCTGACACCGTAATGGTGGAGAGCTCCGACAATTTGTAATTGGATGACTATCAGCTCGTTCGACGCCATCAAAGTAGCTGTTTGGACTTCCAACAATTCTGAAATTCAGGATGTAGAGTAAATGAACATGGGAAAGATCTGTTTAAAATCGTCTGATACCGTTAAGTTCGAAGGTCTTCAGCCATTCTTAGAAGATTGGGTACACACAGAAAGCAAAAACAACAGTTGCATCGAACATGCTTGCAATCAGGTCCAAGGAGGAGAAGATGGTTTTTTAAGGAGACAAATGCCGATCTCACGACCTGGCATGTAGGAGAAAGCGAGATATGCATTCAAATGGGAACACTTGACAAGACGAAATTTGCCAACCAACATCATATCACCCATAACAGAAAAGCAAACCAAATAACTCTATTAGTCATTCGAAGGTCGCTTAACGCCTTAACTTCCCATTCATTCACATGTATTCTTGTCATTTAGTATCAACGGTTCTCATCAAAACATTTCTTGCTGAGTGCGATAACAATCTTCTCAGTTGCTTGTCTACAGACAGAAAAACTTGATTTGAAGTTATTTGTTCAAGTTCCACTATCAATGCGCACTGACCATCGTCTAGGAGTCCGTATTCTCCTTCTTGCCCTTGAAATTTACCTCACGATACGCTTGCGGATGATCGTCAATCCAGTAACGGTAGATCTTCTGTCCCTCCCAACACTTGCCTGACCCCCTTAACCCTGCTTGTCATCTGCCTCCTATCTTACACCCCCGTCCCCGTTCTGTCTTACAGCTCGTCCTCTCCGCACTCGTCCTTCTGGATCAAGAACCACCTGATAAACGCCGGATCTAGCCGCCCGCCCTCCCCTGGCTCGCTGCTCGCGACGTTGGCGTCTGAAGGTGGGGGCTCGCTGAGCATCTCGACTCCCTCTGTCCGGCCGCCTTGGCCAAGCCCAAAGTCTCCGTCAGCGCGCGAGTGAGACCGAGAAGCTTCCTCCTGCTCGCTTCCTGAGGCCGCGGAGTCTGACGGGATGTCTGGAGCTGACCCGGCCGAGGCCTCTGACCGCGAGTCCGACAACCCCGCGTGGCTTCTCCTGTCCACAAGGGTCGGCGTGTCCGCGGAGTACACCCGTCTGGTGCTCGAGGCTGACCCCTCCTCGCCTGCCTGGGGGCGATGAGGGCGGTCAGGTCTGTCTGAGGCTTGGTCGGAGTCGTCGCGATGGCGAGGATACGGCCACTTGGGTACTCCCAGCCTCTTGCACGCCCCCCTCAACGCGGTGATGGAGATGCCCTGGAACGCACGCGCAGTGTCAGTCGGAGGCCATCTGCGAGAGTTTTTTTGGAGGGGGAGGGGCATACCAGCTCCTTGGCAGCCTGGTCCTGTCGGAGGTGGAAGAGGTTAAGGATGTCGGAGTAGGAGAGGTTGACGACGCCATTGCGGTGTGTCTCGCCATTCTTGCGACGGGGGAAGACTTGCACGGTCGGGAACATCAAGCTACAAGTTTTATAGTACTTGATCGGGATACGGCAATGATGGAACCCATTGTGTTGGGAAGAACAGGAAGAGGGTTGCGCAGTTGCGACCAATGCAGCTTCTAGATTCACCAGGGAAGGAGCACTGCAGGTCAGGAGTGAAAGGGATCGTTACTCAAGCTCTGAAAAGCACGGAAGACTTTTCACAGTTTTAGCTAGAGGAGGAGCAGAAAGAACGAAGAGAAGTAGGGGAGACACAGCTTAGTCGAAAAGAAACGAGCCAACATCTTGTGCGATCAGCCCCATCGTGGACTGGGAAGACGAGAAGGAAACAGGAGGAGGAAGCTAAAATGAGCCGCGGTCACTGCTGAACACGGGTTAAATAGGCGTCTCTATGGGTGGGGTGGTTTCCATATCTGTGAAAGGGTCATCTGTTGGTGTAAGTCAGGGGTAGTCTTATACCTGCCACTAAAAGATCAAGTGGTGCAGTGGGTGGGGGCAGTGAACGTCCAGGGGTGGTGAAGGAAGAAGCTACTCAAGTACCAGTAAAGATACTTGGCTAAAGAATTAGTATAGACTTTCACGGGGTAATGCTTGGGTGGTCGTGTTGTTATCGGCCTTTTCCGACCTGCAGATTGCGTTACCACAGATCAGGAGTTTAACCACCATTCTAAAATGATATTTATTGATTTATTATAATATTGAGAATATAAAACATTTTTCTCTTTTTTCTGTAAGGCTAGAAGACCCAAAGGGGTGGAGATATCTCCTTGCACCCCCTGTGGTCCACTGGACTTAGGCTCGCTTATGGGGGTCATGGGTGACTGATGGAGGATTGAAGGGGTGGGAAAGAGAGTTGGGGGTAGGGTACTTTTACGGTTCTCGGAGGGGGTATATCGTAGGGGTTAAAAAGTACCCACCCCCGGAAATAACAATATGATGGGGTAGAGAGAATAAGGGGTGTACAAGGCGGAGGAGATGTGCTGTGACTCCTTGGTACAGACTCGAAGAAGGCAAAACTTGTCTACATCGAGCCCTTCGGAACAACAGTGGGGTGGGAGGCGACCGGACACTCTGACGACAAGGTACCAGAAGCGAGCAGGTTTAAAAGAGGAGTCAAGAAAGCATCAGGATTCGAACCAAACCCAATGGAACGAGCATGATCATTATAACAATGTCGAGAAGGAGCATATTGATGGATGATTGCAACTTTGCGAAGTAGTGAGGTCCGAAAGGGGCCGACAGCTAGAGCATCATTCACATGGCATTAGAGTTGTGGCATACATATGACAGTTCAGAGTCAATCGTGCACGTCTCTCAACCATGATGAGCGGAACGGTGAACGGATGGTAACAAGCTAGCTAGGTGTGCATACAGATATCATGATTGTCAGACCAAGCATGCATTCTATCTGGTCTATTGCAGTGAATTCCACGGATATGCTTGCCAAGCTTCCTGAGAAAGCAAGCAACACGAGATTTCTTGCATCGAGGAAAACTTTGTCGTTATAAAAAAGAGCTGCGCCTCGTGTTTCCCTTGGTCCCCTTTCCTGTCCATTACGCTCGCGTGAAAATGCTCTATGTTTGCTGCCAGGCATCTGTAATCAATCCCTCTGAGTTCGCATTTCCTTGTTCTTCGCTCTATAGTGGGTAAGATAAAAGATTGTGTCCTTCGACTTTGTAACTGCCAAAAATCAATAACAAAAATTTATTCCAGTGATGATATTCCCCAAATAAAACATGACATATTACCCATCCTGTCTGCTATCACCGAGATCCAGGAAATAATCATCAAAACGTATGTCTCCCGTCTGCAACATTCCTTCTTCTAGCTTTTAACTGGTTTGACCCCCTTAACCCTGCTTGTCATCTGCCTCCTATCTTACACCCCCGTCCCCGTCCCTTACAGCTCATCGTCCTCTCCGCACTCGTCCTTCTGGATCAAGAACCACCTGATAAACGCCGGATCTAGCCGCCCGCCCTCCCCTGGCTCGCTGCTCGCGACGTTGGCGTCTGAAGGTGGGGGCTCGCTGAGCATCTCGACTCCCTCTGTCCGGCCGCCTTGGCCAAGCCCAAAGTCTCCGTCAGCGCGCGAGTGAGACCGAGAAGCTTCCTCCTGCTCGCTTCCTGAGGCCGCGGAGTCTGACGGGATGTCTGGAGCTGACCCGGCCGAGGCCTCTGACCGCGAGTCCGACAACCCCGCGTGGCTTCTCCTGTCCACAAGGGTCGGCGTGTCCGCGGAGTACACCCGCCTGGTGCTCGAGGCTGACCCCTCCTCGCCTGTCTGGGGGCGATGAGGGCGGTCAGGTCTGTCTGAGGCTTGGTCGGAGTCGTCGCGATGGCGAGGATACGGCCACTTGGGTACTCCCAGCCTCTTGCACGCCCCCCTCAACGCGGTGATGGAGATGCCCTGGAACGCACGCGCAGTGTCAGTCGGAGGCCATCTGCGAGAGTTTCTTTGGAGGGGGAGGGGCATACCAGCTCCTTGGCAGCCTGGTCCTGTCGGAGGTGGAAGAGGTTAAGGATGTCGGAGTAGGAGAGGTTGACGACGCCATTGCGGTGTGTCTCGCCATTCTTGCGACGGGGGAAGACTTGCACGGTCGGGAACATCAAGCTACAAGTTTTATAGTACTTGATCGGGATACGGCAATGATGGAACCCATTGTGTTGGGAAGAACAGGAAGAGGGTTGCGCAGTTGCGACCAATGCAGCTTCTAGATTCACCAGGGAAGGAGCACTGCAGGTCAGGAGTGAAAGGGATCGTTACTCAAGCTCTGAAAAGCACGGAAGACTTTTCACAGTTTTAGCTAGAGGAGGAGCAGAAAGAACGAAGAGAAGTAGGGGAGACACAGCTTAGTCGAAAAGAAACGAGCCAACATCTTGTGCGATCAGCCCCATCGTGGACTGGGAAGACGAGAAGGAAACAGGAGGAGGAAGCTAAAATGAGCCGCGGTCACTGCTGAACACGGGTTAAATAGGCGTCTCTATGGGTGGGGTGGTTTCCATATCTGTGAAAGGGTCATCTGTTGGTGTAAGTCAGGGGTAGTCTTATACCTGCCACTAAAAGATCAAGTGGTGCAGTGGGTGGGGGCAGTGAACGTCCAGGGGTGGTGAAGGAAGAAGCTACTCAAGTACCAGTAAAGATACTTGGCTAAAGAATTAGTATAGACTTTCACGGGGTAATGCTTGGGTGGTCGTGTTGTTATCGGCCTTTTCCGACCTGCAGATTGCGTTACCACAGATCAGGAGTTTAACCACCATTCTAAAATGATATTTATTGATTTATTATAATATTGAGAATATAAAACATTTTTCTCTTTTTTCTGTAAGGCTAGAAGACCCAAAGGGGTGGAGATATCTCCTTGCACCCCCTGTGGTCCACTGGACTTAGGCTCGCTTATGGGGGTCATGGGTGACTGATGGAGGATTGAAGGGGTGGGGGTAGCCGACAGTCATGGGGCCGTGGAAGTTTTATGAAGGCTGACCGGAGTTGCGCGCTGAAAGAGAGTTGGGGGTAGGGTACTTTTACGGTTCTCGGAGGGGGTATATCGTAGGGGTTAAAAAGTACCCACCCCCGGAAATAACAATATGATGGGGTAGAGAGAATAAGGGGTGTACAAGGCGGAGGAGATGTGCTGTGACTCCTTGGTACAGACTCGAAGAAGGCAAAACTTGTCTACATCGAGCCCTTCGGAACAACAGTGGGGTGGGAGGCGACCGGACACTCTGACGACAAGGTACCAGAAGCGAGCAGGTTTAAAAGAGGAGTCAAGAAAGCATCAGGATTCGAACCAAACCCAATGGAACGAGCATGATCATTATAACAATGTCGAGAAGGAGCATATTGATGGATGATTGCAACTTTGCGAAGTAGTGAGGTCCGAAAGGGGCCGACAGCTAGAGCATCATTCACATGGCATTAGAGTTGTGGCATACATATGACAGTTCAGAGTCAATCGTGCACGTCTCTCAACCATGATGAGCGGAACGGTGAACGGATGGTAACAAGCTAGCTAGGTGTGCATACAGATATCATGATTGTCAGACCAAGCATGCATTCTATCTGGTCTATTGCAGTGAATTCCACGGATATGCTTGCCAAGCTTCCTGAGAAAGCAAGCAACACGAGATTTCTTGCATCGAGGAAAACTTTGTCGTTATAAAAAAGAGCTGCGCCTCGTGTTTCCCTTGGTCCCCTTTCCTGTCCATTACGCTCGCGTGAAAATGCTCTATGTTTGCTGCCAGGCATCTGTAATCAATCCCTCTGAGTTCGCATTTCCTTGTTCTTCGCTCTATAGTGGGTAAGATAAAAGATTGTGTCCTTCGACTTTGTAACTGCCAAAAATCAATAACAAAAATTTATTCCAGTGATGATATTCCCCAAATAAAACATGACATATTACCCATCCTGTCTGCTATCACCGAGATCCAGGAAATAATCATCAAAACGTATGTCTCCCGTCTGCAACATTCCTTCTTCTAGCTTTTAACTGGTTTGACCCCCTTAACCCTGCTTGTCATCTGCCTCCTATCTTACACCCCCGTCCCCGTCCCTTACAGCTCATCGTCCTCTCCGCACTCGTCCTTCTGGATCAAGAACCACCTGATAAACGCCGGATCTAGCCGCCCGCCCTCCCCTGGCTCGCTGCTCGCGACGTTGGCGTCTGAAGGTGGGGGCTCGCTGAGCATCTCGACTCCCTCTGTCCGGCCGCCTTGGCCAAGCCCAAAGTCTCCGTCAGCGCGCGAGTGAGACCGAGAAGCTTCCTCCTGCTCGCTTCCTGAGGCCGCGGAGTCTGACGGGATGTCTGGAGCTGACCCGGCCGAGGCCTCTGACCGCGAGTCCGACAACCCCGCGTGGCTTCTCCTGTCCACAAGGGTCGGCGTGTCCGCGGAGTACACCCGCCTGGTGCTCGAGGCTGACCCCTCCTCGCCTGTCTGGGGGCGATGAGGGCGGTCAGGTCTGTCTGAGGCTTGGTCGGAGTCGTCGCGATGGCGAGGATACGGCCACTTGGGTACTCCCAGCCTCTTGCACGCCCCCCTCAACGCGGTGATGGAGATGCCCTGGAACGCACGCGCAGTGTCAGTCGGAGGCCATCTGCGAGAGTTTTTTTGGAGGGGGAGGGGCATACCAGCTCCTTGGCAGCCTGGTCCTGTCGGAGGTGGAAGAGGTTAAGGATGTCGGAGTAGGAGAGGTTGACGACGCCATTGCGGTGTGTCTCGCCATTCTTGCGACGGGGGAAGACTTGCACGGTTGGAAACATATTTGTGGCAAGATTCCAATTCCTTATCCTAATTGCAAAATCAGTTTCATCATTTTGCTAGATGTTATTCTGTGATGTTGGTTTGAGTATCAGAACGCTTTTATGCCTGCTTGTTGTCGAGCAAAAGCATTCCATAGGGGGCGAGGAAATGTATACAAGGACAGCAGCACTGGGTTCTCACTTTTACACGATACATACACGACACAGGCGTCAGTTTGGATTTCTTTAGACAAATGTATGTTGGTAAAATGAGGAAGCAATCAATGAGATCGCATGGACTGAGGTTGAAGGGGATGCGTATGAAGGAGATGCTCAGGTTGAAAGAGATCTTCGTCGACGGAAGGATATGGGACGTGTTATACCAATTTTACTCCTCCCCCACCTTGAAAACAATTATATAATTATTATGAGTTTTACTGATTGATCACGGGATCACGTTACCCCGAGATAGCTCGACCCTACCCCGTTTTCGAACTTTCTTGCAGTGATTTGGGAGGGTGGGGTGGGATGCTGTAAGGGTGTGTCGAACCAGACAATATCCTCAGATTCATAGCCCTAGCAACGATACCTCCCTGCACCCTTTTCAGAACATGACAATACGTTGACCTCCCTTGCCTGCTCCGTGGCCGCCGAACCTTGAGCAATCCCTTGGCGATGAACAACAGGGATGTTCGTGTGCTTTGCCGACTCTGATTTCTCCATGTCTCGCTAACAAAGTGGGGGCGAAAAAAAAAAAACAGATTTCGGCATGCCTACAAGCTGTGGGATACGTCAATACCACACCCAAGTTTCAGATAGGCAATGGCCCGCACATATCAAAAGAAAGATTGCCTCTTGAACCTATGACAAAGATTCAGAAAGATGTCCATCAAGGGACACACTGACGTATGAACAGATTCTCGTTTCCAATGGACGGAAACTCAACAAGACAAGCGATGCATCGAGGCAAGCTAGAACAGCCGGTGGACACAATTGACAGAATTGTCAGATGTCTACTACATCTCGTGAGCGTAAGACGAGACGAAAGAACGTCTCATTGGTCGAGCCCCCTGAAAGACTACTATGATCTGCTGCACAAGGTGGCTGATGTTGTTGGCAGCGCGTGTACAGCAACTTAGTGAGAATATACACACTCTGACCGGCCACACCTGTCGGACGGTCGTTCAATCCGAGCCCCGCCGCCGCGGCCGGCCGGCCTCCTCCTCCTCAACCTCGGCCTCGTCTAAGGATGTGGGCTGGAGATTAGTCTGGGACTCAGGTGATCTGGAAGCTTGGGCTCGCGACGTGTTGGCAAGCGGTGCAAGGATTGAAGAGGCGCGGGGGACAAGGGGGAGCCTACTCGTGCAGTGCGGGAAGGAAGGATGTGGTGTGTGTGAAGGGAAGCTGTGTGGTTGGTCTTGCTGCTTCAGGTGTTGAAATAAAGTGTTGGAGATCATCTGGGAGCTGATCTGAGTTATCTGAGTTGTTTGGTTGGTTGCGGAAGTCATTGGTATCTTCGTGCGCACACTTGCTCTAGAGAGAGTCTTTGTCTTTGACTTACTTGTTACAAAAAGAAAATTTTTGGGAAAGAGGAAGGGAGCCTGAGAAGGAGGTGCCAGTTGATGTTGCACCCGCATGACGTTACGTCAGTAACGGACATGGCAGCATCATGCGAGTAGTCGCAAGAGGCTACGTACGCTGGCGAGGTGTATAATGCTAGAATCGAAGATGTGTACTGGACGTAGACGTACGTACAACACATTGGTATGATGAAAGCATGAGGCTGGTATAAACCGATACACATGTTTACTCATTGCTGTATTACGGGTTAAGCCTGACCTCGACATATAAGCAACCCATCTTAGACGTTGGCCACGTCATCGGAATGGGATTGCACGAACATTGACGTGTGTTCTCTTACTGCTGTACATAAACAAATCTAGCTTCATTGTTCATCTGTTCTACTCCTAAGTGCACTATCGCTCAGTTGCTGGACTATACCCGCATCAGGTTATGAGCCTCGCGTTAAAAGGAACAGATGTCCCCATACCGTCTACAATGGCCGCCAATCAATCAGCCTCAGGACTCGATGATTACAGCAGTAACACCCGAGAATATGCAAAGACTTGCCCCAGATATCGAGAACTTTATACAGTTCGAGTTGATAGGGCAATACTATGCATACCTCAACTCTGAAGGGAATCCAGAAAACATGAGAGCCTACTTCGATTGTCATTTTCCCATCAGAGATACTCAGTCAGAAGAATTACAGGAAAACATGAGACAGAAAAGGAGAGAATTTGTACGAGAAGCAGATGCTGCTTTGACGCAAATCCTCCACACTGTCTACATGCAATGCCCTGGCAGGAT